TCAGCATTATCATAGAATCATAGAATACTTTAGATTGGATAACACCTTTAGGGTCATTCAGTCCAACTGTGTACACATGTATGCTTGCACTTGGTTTGCACACAAGAGATAGGTAAAGGCTTATGACCTTAGTTTTGAATCTCATTTTAATAGCTTCTATGTGAAGGAAATTGCCACCATACTTGAAATCTCTGCCATTTTGGGTACAGTCCATGGAACTCCTTCTGCTCCTTGGAACAAAGAATTAAATGCTTGTGTGGAGAATTTTCAGTTCACCTCTATCATGAATCTTAGGGGTGCCAGACAGACCAGCTAACACAACAGGCATTGTTCCTGCCATGTAAAACACTGAGAATGCCAAATGATGATAGAGAACTGGCAAGGTCCTTCAGCAAGAAAATTTTGAATAGGAAGGAAAGCTTGAACTGCAGTTGTTTTTCCAGATGCAGTCAGATCTTTTGATAATCACATTATAAATTTTCTGTAAATTTTCTCGTGACTTCAGTGCAGACAGTTAAGAGGTTTGGTAAAAGAACACAATGAAATATTTGTGTTGCTAGAGGCACTTGACAAGAAAACACACTGTATTAGAAGTTTAGTGTGTCCAGCTCCTTCAAATTCCTTCTTTAACATTTTCACAATACAGAATGCCATATACACTGCACTTTTTGCCTTTGCAGAATCATCTTCCTCAGAAGCTCACCTCAGACTTCCTCTTTCACCATCTCACACTGCTAGAAGTCATTCAAAGTTATATTTTCAAGAATATTTTTATTCACAAATGGAAAGCTTCATTCTCTTTATTGCCATAAAAAGCCAGCTTAAACTGCTGACTGCTTGTGGCTAGCCTATTAATGTAAAAGTGAGAGAGCTTGCATGGGAGAGACTAAAAGGGGCAAATAAAAGAACAGAAAGTATGCAGGGAGAGAAAAGAGATTAACAGACGGGGGGGAAGTCAAAGAAATAAGTGGAATGGGAAAAAAGCAGAAAAAGAAGGCAAAATATAGAGATGCCATCAGTAGAAAGGAAGAAACAGTGAAGAAAAACAAGGGTATGGGGAAAAGGCAGGAATGATCCCAGAACTTAAAATAATTCTGAGAAAACAGATAGTGATGTCAAAATCCCAGTAATTGAATTTTTGCCTTGAAAAGCCTCTGACAGCTTTGCTTAAATGTTTAGCCACATAAAATCAAACTCCACGTCCCTGACTGCATGTGTCTCTCAATGAAGTCAACAAGAATCGATAGCAGCAGCAGCATTCAAATCCATGCTGTTTTCATTGTAGAAAAGGTAAATACAAAACTCTTTCCATACCTGCACCATTTCTCCATCTTTTTGTAGCCTCTAACACCCTTTCTAACATAGTCTATCCCAAAGTCACTGCTGTTAGCCTTCCTGAATTGATGGCATCCAGCTGAACAGAAGACAGTGAGGGAGAGCTCACATATTGTCTGTTCTTAATAAATAATCATTAAAGGATAGATTTGCAGCACCACAGCATTTTCCAACACTCAGTCTGTTTGCCTTGAGTCAGCTGCTCTGTACTTTCTCCCTATTCTTGCATAATTGAATACTATATCTTAAATTTCTTTTTTTTCTCTGAAGAACTGGTATTATCTGAAAAATATTGTAAACTCATTCAAATTTCATTAATTCATTGGACCTAATGCAAACTGGAGGTGCAGGAAAACCAAATAAGTTAGCAAACCAGCATCTCTCCTTACCTATTAATAGTGGTATTTTCTGTTTCTTTTAATGGCAACTCAGGCCTGCCTGGCTTCTCCTCCATCCTTTGCAAAGGACACTGAAAAATTTATGAGCAGCCCAAACTTACTCAATCATTTCAATATCTCAGACTTACAACGTGTCCCATAAAGTGAGTACTCAAATGCTTGAATCATCACACTGAGGCCACGTTTCTTGGACCAGAGATGTTTCCATCCATCCACCCGATAGGTCTGACGAGACACCTGCAAACAGGGGCCAGACAAGGAAGCAACAGTGTCACTAAGAGTTAGATAAATGTTTCACTAGTGGAACCAGTTCAAAGATTTCTTGGCAGTTTAGACGAATCCTGAATGTTGTCAGCACAGGAGCAAATGAGTGAACAGGTCTCCTTTCAGGCCTGAAACTCAGGAGATGCCGGAGGTGGAGGGCTGTGGATGAGCACAGGGGGACACAGTGTCACAGGAGGGGCAGGGAGCCAGGGGGGCCATGACAATCCAAAAGGGGTGGCAGGTGGTCAGAGGGTTTCTGGAGTTCGTGGGGATGCCTGTTTCCTACCTTTCCATCCATCTCACAGGTGCTGACACAAGATCTCCCAGTTTCCTCGTGAGCTCAGGTGCTGCACAACGAGGAGGGGACAGCAGGGACACTGCAGGCACAGCTCCCAGCAGCTGCCAGTGTCCCTGCCTGCCTGCTGCCCCGTGTGTCAACCCGAGTCACAAACACCAATGCTGAAAAGCACATCCTAAAACCTAACAGGGTCTTCAGGACCATTTTGCCTCTGCAAAAACCTAATGATTCTTCATTTGGACATCAGTCTAGATATCAGAGCCATGATGATCCATAGGGAGCTGTCAGGCTTCTCTGTTTGTCTCATTCGGGATGGGAAGTCAGATAATACACAATCATGTTGATTAGCTGGAGGGAGTGACTTACAGTTTCGTGTACTGTGTGCTTCATACACCTAAGCAACAGAACAAATTCAGATATATTCCTGAGTGGCCTATATAATCAAAAATATCTATATCTAGGCCCTAAAACAGCAAGGATTTGTCTCCCTTTTAAAAGTCAAGGTATCTAAGCACATAATATAGAAGGAAAGAAAACGTAGTATTTCCCTCTAGAGGTCTTTTAACAAAAGAATGTGTCACAATGATGTAAAGCAGGTGGAAAACAAATTTGATAAAATAAAAATAGAGAATAAATATTACTTTTAAGGACACTGTCCCACAATATTTTTTGGTTATGATGCAAAAGCATATCTCTGACTTGCACAATAAGACCCTTTTGAGAAATACTCTCTATAAGTTGTAAAATGCCATGTTGTAAAGCAGAATCATCCATCAAAATGCAAGACAAGCAGATTTCTTATTTTGGGACAAACAGAGTTCACCAAAGATATGAGGTCAGGTGAAAAGAAGGAAATCTTCTGTATTTTTCAGCCACCAGGGTAATAAGAAAAATCCTTTCTGAATTCTGCCCATTTATGTGTCTGTGATGTACCTGTGCAGCTTGAGGTTCCTCATACACAGAAAGCAGGATGCAGTAATCATGAGTAACAGAGGGCCTAGAGCTGTAGTGTGCCACTCCACTTGAAAAGCCTCTAAAATATGCTAGTGCCAGATCTGCCTGGGCTGAAAATTGTGTACTGCTCACAATGATGCATCTGAAAAAATTAAATGTATGCTCTCAGAAAACTTGCTGAACATCTACTCCCAATTTCTTTCCATTTCTGCTCTACTAAAGGGCTGCAATTTCCATCTCTGTCTTAAGCATGCTCCTTCTGAGTCTTTCATCAGATCGACAGAGCTTCCTCCTGCCTTTCTCATGAAAGTTCACCTCAACGAAATCACCGGGGTAAATAAGGCGAGCAAGATTTTCCCACTACCTCAAGGGGAATTCATCTGCCAAGGCTTCATTTCCTGTAATGTATGGCTTTATTTCCTGTAATGTATGGCACCAAACTGTGCCTCCTCCAGGCACGATGTTAATCTGGCTTTCTCCCCATGTACCCCTGGCAGATGGTGGTGTGTATTAGCTCTGATGGTGAGCACTAAGCAATGCAGCCTGCTCCTTGTCACACTGGAGCAAGAACAGCCTCGGCCACGTTCCCAAGCATTTACTCTTCGTCTGGAGTTCCTCAGATATTTCAGTGCCAGCCATACATCACAACTTTAAGAGCTGAGGTGACAATTCAAAATATGAAAATCATTGCAGAGTAAATGAAGCAAATGATCGTTTTTGACAAATACACATGAGTGTGGCACTCGGAAATCTGGCTTGAATGTCTCTAAATAATTAAATTTATCTACCTCAGTAGCTACATTTGAATTGCAAATTAATTCTCCACCTCAGTCCTGCTGCATGTGTATGTCTGCACTGGTACCTGAGCTCCCACAGCCTGCTGGCTCTGAGTGCAGGAGCACCTCTGGGCAGCAGCAGTTTAGTGCAGAGAGGACCCAAGGATGAGGACACTTGGCTTTGCTACACGAAGCTTTGTTGTCACCCTCCTTGGACTTGCCTTTTAATGGGTGCTGTGCAGCACATCCACAGCCCAGGGACAGTGCCAAGCACGCAGCTGCTGAGGCAGGGCTGTGCTCCTGCAAACCTGGCTCAGCTCCATCACGTGTTGTTTAACTGCACAAACCTTCCTCTCTACATGCTCCTGTCCTTTTTACACAGAATAGACAGGGCAGCACTGCTCACCTGATCTTCCCCACTGGGGGAATGGCAAAATACATTGTTAAGTCCCTGTACAGTTTCCATTTTTGTTCAGTTCTCCACCAAGGCCACCCCTATTACAAGTTACTCAAATTCCATTGTAAAACAGAATTATCCACATCCCTACCACTTCTCAGCATAGGAACATTTTCTCAAGAGCAATGTCTTTGTTCTCCCAAATGTCCTGTGAGATGAGGAAACTTCCTTACATCCATTTTACAAATAGAAGCTTGAGGCACAGAAATATTAATGTCAGCAGGGCTAAGTCACTTTAAAAGTTTATAGTTCGACTTTCTCAGAGAGCCAGGCATTTTATTCCACTACATTTCTCCACAGCAATGCAGAGTCTCTTGGTCTCCATTGGAAACTCCAAGCATTCCTCATTTCATTTCAACAAGTCAGACTGAAGGCCTCAGATAAGAAATCAATTGAAGAACACAGGCATCACCTGTGAGAAATGTCAGTGAAGTGATGTGATTTAAATCCCAGTGGAATTCTGGCACATCAGGAAGACAAGAAAGTTCTCCAGGGCAGTATTTAACAGCCCATCCCAGAAGATTCCTCTTGTTCCATCTTATTCACTGCACAGATTCCCAGTTCCTACAGCAAATAAAGCAGAGGTCCTGGAGGTGACAGTTTCTCCCCATAGCTGTGACACATCCCCCAGCCCATGTACCCTGAACTATTCATAACAATGTGGAAAACCCTGTGGGTGAAGGGTGAACAAGTAACCCAAAATTGCACTTGTTACCATTCAGGATTATAAAGCCAGCTTTGAACAGGCAAGTTCAAAAAATGATTTTTTTTTTCTACTTCCTCATTCTAGTGCTGTAAGAAAACCCTTAGGACAAATGAAGAAGGGGCTAGAAAGTTCCCAGGTTTCATGCCTGTAGCCCTGAAGTGACCCTGAGGCAGGATTAATCCTCTGCATAGGTGTCACAAAGATGACAATGGCAAATGGCCACTCTGGCTCCTCAGCAAAAGGAATTACACTCCACAATGGCCATAAGTGAATTTTTGCCCTTGTACCCTGAGCTATTCTACTCCTCAGGCCAGGTTCAACCCTCCTGATCTCGATGCCTCCAGTTCAGTCCCACCTGAGCCCTGCCCTCATCCCAGACGGCTCCATCCTGCCTTTCCTTCCTCATCCCCAGCCTTCCCTCACCCATTCCCGTGTCCCTCTCCACCACAGACACCCACAATGAGCATTCTGCACACAGAATCAAATCAGCCAGCAGAAACTTCAGTCTTTCAGGGGTATTTTCACAGAGAGAGTACTGGACAGACCCTGACACCAACCCTGCTCCTCACCCAGCTTTCCAGCCCTGCCCTAAAGCTCTACCTGAGCAAGGCTGTCCCCTCTTTCTTGCAAATAGGCAAATCATTTCAGAGAATAGAAATTGTGCAAGTGTTTTGGCAGTTGAAGTTTTAATATGAACTCTTAAATTTTAGCAAAGTTATTAAACATAGAAAAACAATTATAAATATTTTTGTATCCTGGAGTGAGGCTTGATTACCTGGCTGCATTATTTAAGGAAAGCTTTTACAAACAGAAAGAATATGCATGTGATCTCTGGATAACCAGACAACCTCACCTGACAAAACAGTAACTAAATGACCACAGATTAATTCTGTTAAGTGGCCAGTTCTCTACTACTCAGAGATTAAGAGGTGAATTCTCTCTATAGTGTCCTTTCTCTGTATCTGAAAGCAAAACCCAAAGCTTTTTAGCAGTACTTCCAATTTATCCCCTCCACTAAAAGGCAGCATCCTCTTAAAAATCTTTTCATCTCTCTACAGTACTAAATTACACAGTCCTAATCCCAACTGAATCAGATGATTGTGCCTGTCTGTACTGTAGAGGCACTTGGAGACAGCTTCACTCTACATAAGCAGCATCTGCTGTGCAAACATCACACCTGCTATCCACACCTAAAAGTGGTTTTGGCTGACTGACAAGCATTACTCTTGTAACATTTGCCCAGCTGAATAGTATTCATTTATAGAATCTGTTTTATAGGTATGTGTTTATTTATTATTATTATTAATAAATAATAGATTAGAATAATATAATGCAATGATAAATTACATAATGGTTGGTTTAATTTTTTTTGCTCGGTCATTTATTTATTTATTCAATTTATAATGAATTTATAATCTGTTAACCCAACTACATCTTTAGGTGTCGATAGAAGTGTGGGGCAGCTATAGGCTGCCTGGAGTCAGCTGCCATATGTACTGACTACAGAGATTATGGATAGCCCTGGCAGGAGGAGGAGGTTTATGTGAGTGTGCTGTGTGTGTTTTTAAAAGGAGTTTTCTCAAATCTGTCAAACGAAGAAAGGATGTTATACTGATTCCAAGTGACCCCATCACTGCAGCTGGGTGGTCAGAGTGCCTGCTTACAGTTCAGGGTCTACACCAGCTGGGTCACAGCATCACCTTTCAAACACAGACAGGCCTGGCTTTCCATGACACATCCATCTTGCCATTTAGGCCTGAGCCTGAGGTGTGGGACAAGAAGCCAGCCTCGCAAGGCTCCCAGCCTGCCTCTCTGCTGTGACAAACCCATCAGCAACCACCTGGCTTAAGACCACGGTGCCCTGGCTGGAGCCTTGCACCTGCAGCTTCAGGTTGCATCCAGGAGGACAAGGGGAACTTTGGAACATGGTTCAAGATGTTCATTGGCAAAGTAATGTGCAAGAAGCTTAAGGAGCTGCTGTCTCAGCAAGGAGCTCACTCTGACTCAGCTGGGTGCCACAACCTCTGCTGAAAGAGCTCAAACTTGTTAAACAGCTCTGAGCTCTTTATGGCCATTGCCAGTGCCCTGGGCTAGTTCACACTGGCAGTCAGAGCCCCAGCACCACAGACAGATTTCAAGATCAATTCCAAACTCCCTGTGTTTGGATCAGCAGAACTGATCCAACTGGAGCTTGAAGGCATCATCATCCAGCCAAGAACCACAGGCTTGGACTGAAAGTCTTGGGAAAGAAAATGTGTGGTCTGGAGTTTGTTCCTGAAAATTGCTGTGCTTTCTGAGATTCATGACCGCCTGTTTGGCTCCAGGAAACCCCAACAGCCCTGCACTTGAAGAAGTCACTGGGGGTGGGAGCTAGAGGATCTTTAAGGTCTCTTCCAGCCCAAGCCTTTCTATGATTCTATGAAATCTATGAAATATCCTTTATTATATTTTAAATAGAAAGGATACTGCTTCTTTTATGCTCTGTATTTTGAGCCTTTGGAGTATCCTTATCCAGGCTGGTCTCTTTGACAATGAAAGCCTTCTCATAAAGCAATATAGTAATGTGACTTCAGATAGAGAAGTTTCAAGGAAAACTCAAAAAGCTGCAGTAGAGCTCTCAGAGCTGGGAGCACCAGGAAGGGATCACAGGCAGACTCTCAGCACACTGCTTACCCAGGGACACCCTCCCCTCTGACTGTCAGAGCCTTCGTTTGTCTTACATTTCCACTCCACCATCTCTCATCAAAGTGACAGGTGTGAGGCCATGGATCTCAATTAATGTCTGTTAACTGCTTGGATGGAATTTGACAGAATATGAAATGCTACTATTAAATGCACAAAAATAACTAAAGATAGGATGAAGTGCACATATATAGATATATAACAATTATATATGTATGTATGTATGTATGCATAATATTTTTTCTCAAGAAGCCAGTGAAAAGTTACTTTTATCCCCTTCTGAGATACTTTCTAATTATGTACAGGCTTGACAATTATTCCACTGCTTGTTATATGAAACACCAGTGTGTCTCTTGTAAGCAATACCCTTCCAGAAATAATTATCCTTTTGACATAATGTTATATATATGCTTCTTTGTTTAGGCATCCTGCAGATTAATAAAATCAAGAGCCAGATGCCTTGAGACAAATTAGCTATTTCCTGTCAATAAAATATAATGCAGCACACTTAATTTATAGCAAACACTGGTGCCATGAAATGCTTTGGCTGCCCGTGCTGCTCATCCCCATGGAAGCACCATTGTGATTGCAGCCTTACAACCTCACAGTATTGATCCATAAGTGTGGAAGATTTTATCTAAATAAGAGACATTAACAACATAAGAGGGTTCTGCACCAAAAAGATCAATTTGACTTTGAATTTGCTTAGTCATTTTCCAATTCATTTTTCTTCCACAGGATTCTCTATATTCACTTATAAACCCAGGTTGTTTTTATGGATGTTTGAATAATGGCAATGCTCTGCAGCTGTTTGGCACTGCTTATGAAATGGCATTTGTGACAAGGAAGATGCCTCTGACAAGACCAAGTGATCACAGAATCAAACAATCATGAAGGTTGGAAAAAGACCTCTAAGATGATTAAGTCCACATCTTACCAACCACACTGTTGTTAATAGCTTGAGGGAAGAAATATTCTGAAAAAGTTTTAAAAAAAGCAACCCCTACTATCATCCTATATCTTTCTTGTATATTTCTAACTCATTCAAGAGTTGTTTTTTCTCTAGACATTGGTTAAAACACTTTGGTGCCCCAGCCTAGTTTGGAACAAATTGGTGACACTCATTTGCAACTGCCACAGTTATTTTCGGAAGAACTGTTGCCATGCCATAGTTAAGCTGCATTAAGTTTTAAGCTGCATGATGTTTAACATGCAAAACATGTGGTATCACCCTCAAATGTTCCTCATGTACTCTCTTTTTAAAACTTGACATTTGTGAGGTTTTTCAGGAAAGACAATAATTCAGGCTGTAAGTGCTAAGTAATTAAGAATTAGTCCCCAAAAGCTCCTGTTTTGAGTTCTGTGATTTATTGAAGACCTTCTACATTGACAAGGTCAAAACAAAGAAAGAGAAAACATACTGAACATTTCGTGACTTCTAAGTGGCTCTGGCTTTATTTTACTCTCAAAATTCAGACTTTTAGCAGTCAACTAACATAAAACAAAATTTCTGACAGTTTTTCCAATTCTTCAATGCTGTGTGAAAAGCCATCTTAATCAGCTCAAGTGATAAGTATGAACTGGTCACACAGGAGCCTCTCTCTCTGCTGCTCCCAGCCTCTACCAAGAAGACAGAAATAACCTGTGCTGGGCTTTCTTCTTTAATATAAAACTTGTAGGGGAGAGGAGGGAATTCACTAATGATTTGTTAAGACAAGGTGGAAGTCCTGAACTGGCCAATTTTACTGGAAACAAAGAAATCTGTTCCTCAGCCAAAGCTTATGATTCTCATGGAGTGCCCAGCCCATTTCCACTTCCCTTTGATTTATAGCAAACTGATCCATTCCTTGAAACAGATGGGTTTTTTGTACTCCCTTCACAAAAAACTAAACAACAAAACCAGCCAGTAAAAACAAACAAAAAATTCCTCTCTTTTAAACAATACTGACCTTTTCTCAAGAAAATACCAATTTTGATAAAAGTTTATTGTTTCCCCCAGACTTCTGGTGACCAGGAAGGAAAAGGTCAAGTTCCCACTGGAGCATTTTTCATCTGGGCAATTTTGAGAGGGCAGAGGGCTCAGCACGCTGAAGGTGAAGCCCCAAAGGTGACCCTTTGTCACCTTTGTCAGCCTGAGCACT